AGAGAGAGGAAGAACTTAGAGCTAGAGAAATAGAACGTATAGATAGACAGAGAGAGAAAGAACGTATAGATAGACAGAGAGAGGAAGAACTTAGAGCTAGAGAGGAAGAACGTATAGAGAGAGATAAACAGAGACAATTTGAACTAGATAAACGTGATAGAGAAATTAGACTGGCAAAATTAGTGGCAGAACGACGGGAAATTATTTTAAAGAGACAGGCATATTATTATAGCGACAGTGACGATGACGAGAGTCAAGGGGAAGAAATATATTATGGCATTGCCAGCATTCACTGTGAGAATCCCTATAAAAATTTTAATAGATTTCCTATTAATGTAAGTGAAAACAAATATGTGGATAACGGTGGACATACTCATGATCCTGACCCCAGGCAAGAGCCGACCTCGCAACCACTGTTCATAGCTAAAGATACTGAGGAACAAAATGATATTATTGCCTCTGGTGACGACTCAATTTTTTTTAATGGAAATGACAGTGAATTGTTAATTGATCCGTCGGCTAACGTTAAAAGGGACAACGTTGACCGTGTGCTAAAGATACTGAGGAACAAAATGATATTATTGCCTCTGGTGACGACTCAATTTTTTTTAATGGAAATGACAGTGAATTGTTAATTGATCCGTCGGCTAACGTTAAAAGGGACAACGTTGACCGTGTTGACATACCCCCAGTGGCAAAGGGTACCGAGATAGCTTTAGATTCATGTCAAAAAGAGGTTGAAGTAGTTGGTGTATCCCAGGAAGTCCAATGTAAAGAAGAAAGGGGACGACAATTTAATAAGGTAGAAGTCATTGGAAATGACCTTAGGTGGACGTATGTAGGGGATTGTCCCAGCGTCACAGCATGTAATAAACTGGTGGTTATGGAAACGGGCTGTATTGAAAGCAAAGAGAACCCTGTTCTAATGTCTGAGGACATGATTTTTGTTGTATCTCATGGTGAGCCATCAGATAATGTAAGCCCTGAAGTTAAAGTGTCTGATTTTTTGTGTGAGGTTGATGAGGTGAGTGTAATCCCTGAGGTGGGGGAAGGAGATAAAATTGTTGTTGATAATTATTGTGATGTAAATGAGTCACTGTGTAAAAAGGTTGTGAGCAAAGGTTGCTCAAATGTTGATATTTTTACAGAGATATGTGCTGGTAATGAATATGAATTAGTTGATAATGTGAGCCAGGTGTGCTCAGGTTTTGATGTTACTGCAGAGATCTGCAATGAAAATGTATTACAAGTTGTTATGAGCAAGGGTTGCTCAAAATTTTTTAGTATTGCAGAGAGCTGTATTGATGATGAATCAATAGGTAATGTGAGCCTGGGCTGCTCAGATTTTCATATTGTTACGGATAGCTGTAATGATAATGAATCACCTGTAAATGTGAGCCAGGACTGCTCAAATTCACATATTGTTACAGATAGCTGTAACGAAAATAAATTCCCAAGTAATGTGAGTGAAGGTTGTCCAGATTTTGAGAGCCAGGAGTGCTCTAACATTAAGTTGGAAACCAATGTTGAAAGTGTGAAAGAGAGCGCTGCCAGCACTTGTGCACTTGTTTATGATTTTCAAGAGGAGGTGAGTTGTCAGGTCCATGAGTTGGGAGGTGAGGATTTTGATTGTATTGTTAAACAAAATGAATCTGTTAAAATGAACTATTGCCATGATTGCCCTGAAGTTCCTGATTTGTTTGAGTTTCTTTTTTATGAGACTCGTTTTTCATTTTGTAACAATTTAAAAATATGTATTGTAAAACTGAGATTTCACATGAGTTATGACCACGGGTCAAAAGAACAGAGAGAGATCATTATAATTATAATAAACAGGTTGAAGCATAAAGTTTTGAAATCCACGGACAAAAGATATGTCCCGCCATCTGTAGCTGTGTTATTTAAGAACAAATAAAGGCTGCTCAAATTGTGGTGAGACATCTCTCACCTGTAATAATGTTAGATAGTTTTGTGTTTTTATAGTGATGGCAATTGGTTTTGTTTAAAAATACATCGTTCTTTGATGATATGATTTGGATTAACTTAGTTATAGTTGCAAATTCGGTAAGGATGTTGATGTGTTTGCCCTGATTTTTGAGATAGAAATATAATTATTTTTATTGGTATGAAAAATGAAAATTAATGTTGACATTCAATTTTAATGGTCTGATTTTTATTGTCGTACATGAATTTTTAACTCTTGAATTGCATTTAAAATTATGTACGAAGGATTGTTTATTTTATTGCAGTATATCATAAATCTGTTTGATTTTCAGTGATACCTAAATAATGTTTTTTGATAAGGACCATTCATATGGCTGAAGGTCTCTTCTTGATGTAATTCATGTAAATTTTGTGTGTCTGGTGACGATTTAACTCCGTTAGTTAAATCTGAAATGAAAGAGGGGGGATATGTCGAG